GATGCCCCCATTTTGGTTCATTTGGAAGTCCTGGTACAATGTTATAGTTGAACAAGCTTCAGGCTAATGTGACATAGCATATTTCAACTGGCAAAAGGTTCTATTATCTTTATGTTTCAAGAGCTTTAAATGTGTGCTATTATCGTCATCCAAAGCTTGTAAACAATTTTAACATTACTGCATACCGTATTCATCAAGGGGAGAATCATAGTCATAGCTTGTTGTAATGAAGAGGCCACTAGACGTCCGACCAAAATTAGTTCCTCCATGGTACTGGACTCAAAAATTATAAATTACACATAAATCAAGGTTTCTAATTGACGAAGATAAATTTACATAGCACACAAGGTGGGAAATATTCACAATGGATAAATCTTTCATGCTGAGGGCCAACATACCATATAGTAGTTAACAAATGCACCACCATTCTGTATGAATCTTGCAACTGAGAATGCCAAGTCTTCTGCTGGTCTACGAGGGTTTGCACTACCAAAATCAGTGTACCTACAAAACAGGAAACATTAATCTAAACGTAGGAGGAAAATTAAAAAACATTTTCATCCTACAAAGGTAGCATTTGTAAGACTTACCAGCCAGTCCAATTCTCAGTCCAAATTTTGGGTTTGTACTTCTTGTTGGGCTTATAGTTTTCACAGTAGAATCCATTGCAGGTGTCAATCTGTGGCATAATTAGTAAATTAATACAGATCAGATGCAAGGGAGTCGAATCAATTTGCCCATGAAAACACAAAGCTTTCTCTCATAAAATTAAAATCAGAAAAAGGAAAAACAAACACAAAGAAAAGGGTCCATTGGGCTTATGAGAGAACAGCAAAAATATCATCATATAGTAAAAGCAATAATCCTATCCCAACCAAAGTAACCAAAAGCATGCTATAAATAAACTCCATCACCACGTAAAGATGGATCACATAAATTTAACAGAACAGAATAAGAATTATAATTTTATTTGGTAAAAGAGAACTCCAAATACACACACACAAATTAAAACGTTTTATGCAAGTGTGGGAAAGAGAAAGAGTAACATACAACAGGATCAGGAGCATCTTCTTGCTTGCACATAACCCAGGGAGCATCAGTATCTAGACCTACGGCCATTTGAGCAGCCCAATTCGTATAAGCTTTTCCAGGAGCACCAATTTGCCGTTCCACTGGTCCAAACTCATTCTCTATCTGCCAATTCAATTGAGTTTTAGCTCTAAATTAAGCACAAACATTATAGTAAATTGTCTCAGTAAACTTTATATTAAAAAGATTATATTTAAATACCATGTATTTATTTACCTGTGACATAATTATTGGACCACCCTGGCTTTGAAACAACTCCTCTGATTTCATCAAGCTGACAATCTTTGCAGTGAATTTTTGCATTGCCGCCTACACAATCATGACAAAAAATTGGACAATTTTTGTTAGAAAATTCACTAAATATTATTAATTAACCAATAATGATAAGTAAATAATTAGAATTAGTGAGGCTACATAATCAAAATTGCATACCTTGAATGGCTCATTGTCTGTTCTGAAAGCAATACCCGGAACATACTTAAGCCAAACAGGAAATCCTCTGAATAGAAAACAGAGCATGTGACCTTTGAGTGATTCCTTAGAATTATTTTTCCCCTTTTTACCTAAGAATTTTCCTTTTCCCAATAATAAAAATAGAAGAAGCTAAACATTCATATCATTAAAATCATTACCCAAAGTTCCATTCAGCACATATGTAGGGACCAATACGGAGATGAACATAAAGGCCAGCTTGCTGTACCAGCTTAACGAACTTTACCAGATCAAACCTATCCTCGAAATAATACTGAAAATTTTCAACATTTTATAAATTAGTTTCTTTTCTTATTTTTGGGAACTTTCTGACCAGTGAAAACAAAATAAAAACAACAACGGATTGAAATTGGAAACACAAACATCCGGAAAATGTTATCTAAAATCCTTAAAGCTTAATTAAGCAACTAATAATAACAAGATTTTATTAAAGAAATATTTTTTATATTTTTGTATTTTCAATGTAATATATATATGTAATAAAAGCTTATTAATTTGCAAGCTTAAATTCAGTCCTAAGATTGAGGATAGTAAAATCGATAAATTTGTTGCATTTGCATTACTTGTCCAGGAGAAGGTTCATGACCATTCCAAAACACATAGGTCTGAATAACGTCAAGGCCTCCATCTTTGGCCTTCTGAATGAGGTCAGGCCACATCTGCAATCAGAAACATAAATTTTAGTCCATGCATTAATGAAAAAAATAAAATGGAAGAAATTATTGAGAAAACAAATTTTGATGCAGTGAGAGTGAGTACTTGAGGTGTGCTTCTTGGATAATGGATGGAGCCAGAGATCAAAATTCTTCTATTTCCATCAACAACAATTGCTCTGTGGTCATAAGTCACAGAGGCTGTGACACTACAAACGCACAAACACAACAGCATTAACACCACCCCATGAAACCTCTTTCTAACTAGATTCTCCATAATCATTATGAAACTCTTGGTGTGTTTCTGAAACCAACAGCGTTGTCTTTCTCTTCTTCACTCTTGTTTACACATGTGAAGTTTGTGAAGAGAGAAAGAGAATGGAGGGAGGGACGAAGAGAAAAGGGGTGGCTTGTTGTTAATTTATATGTTAGTGGACAGTGTGTTTGATATCTTTTGTTTGTATGTTACATTTTATTACAAGGTGAGGTGTGTAGGTTTGATGGGTTAGTTGAAGTATAAGTTGAAGCCAATGTTGCTGCTTTTTGTAGATTTGGAGAACCAAAGAAAAAGGTGGCAAATATGAGTCGCTTTTAACTTCATTTTCCTTCACTTCATCTTTGCCTTTTGCTTTGGGAATTGTAACTTCAATTCAGGTGGCAAGTTTACATTCGATTATCATTTTCCTTTCATGATTTTACTTTTTTATTTTATTGAAAAAGATACGTAAATTTAATTAAGTTAACACTTTTCCTAACTTTGGTTTTCATGATTATTTTTAATCATTTAAAATGATACATTTTATAAACATGTTTTTTTTTGTATTGTTATGTGATAATGTTTTTTAAAGTATTTTTTATTATTTTTAATTGTTTAATGTCAATTATTTAAAGTAATATTACCATTTTTCTTAAATTAATAAAGAAAAATAACCAACAAAGTTTGGTATATAATTGGATCTCTCGATGATATCAAATAAAAACTTTATAATCAAGCTGTTTTTAGTGTAAAAGAAAGTTAAAATGATCTACTCAGTTTATGTCTAATTATTATCACTCAAATACAATTACATTTTACTGAATTTTAGTGTGCAAATAAAGTTATAAGAAAAACGTCAATCAAACAAAAGAAATAATTTACTGAATAAAAAAAATAGAAAAGTGATGTTTAACACACGACCGAAAGAAATTATTATTCAACTAAAATAAATTTGCAGTGTTTGTTAAACTGAGTGAGCAAATTTGTTCACTCTAATAACATATGATACTTATGACTCTATGTTTAATTTAATAATTACCATGACTTTGTTTAATTCTATAATCACCCCGATTTAAAAAAAATTATTTACTTGAAGTCAATGAAAAAATTTGAAATTTTTATTTTGGTAAATTTTCATTCTAGATTAAAGAGGGAAATTATTAATTAAAAATTTCTTTTAATTTGGAATAAAAATCGAAAGGATTCATAAAAAAAGTATTTTAGAATAAAAAATAAAAAGATTTCAAGATATTATTTTAGAGTAGAAAGGGAAAGAATTTTAAGACATTATTTTAGAATAAATAAGGAAAGAATTAAAAGTAATTGTTTTGAAATAAAAAAAAAAGAATTTAGAAATTATATTAGATTAAAAATAAAAAATTGAAAAATAATTCTATAGTAAAAATGAAAAATAAAAATAAAAAGATTTATTTGACAAATGTAACTCTTACTTTTACGTATTTTAGGTACAACATATAAATTAATGTAACGTAGTTCTTGAATACGATTAAATGGATGATTTTGGTTTTTTTTTTTTCTTGTTAATTGATATATAATTAACATATAATTGGTCTCTAAAACATAAATAAAAATTTAAAAAATAAAATAATCGTTAGTGTAAAGAGGAAAGGAAAAATAATCTACTCAATTAATGTCAAATTATTATCACTCAAATATAAGTCTTCCAAGTGGTAAATGATTGCAGATTGTTAAAGATTTATTTAGTATTAAAGATTTATTTACGTGTAATGAAATTCATTGTAAAGTATGTGTAATAAAATTTACATCATAGAATAAGCATCATAAAATTTTGAATAAATAATAATATAAAACCAGAGGCATTAATAAAAAAATTCTCAAGGCTTCAATTGCTCGTTGTGTTAGTAAAGTTAGGTATTTTTGGTTTTGAGAAAATTAAAATTCTAATAGAGGTTAAAAAAATAATTTTTTTACAAATATTCAGAAATTGATTTTTAAACAATAAAATATTTAAAAAATTAAATGACATTGAAGTGATACAGGAGTTAATCAATTCAACACTTAATAGAAAAAAGTTAATAATAAATACTAAATTTTAAGATTTTAAAAATTAAATCTTAATAAATTTTTTTATAAAAACTCCTTACAAAATGTATTACGTTTGTGGAGACAAAAATTGTATCTAAACCTAAAACTTATATCATAAAATTTTAAATAAATATATAAGATAATTTTCTATATAAAAAAATATTTATTTTTCAAAATATAAAGTTTACTTTAGAGGTGAAGCTAGAAGCTTGGACAATCAGCAGCATCAGCAAAATACAAACTTTCATCGGAATTTGAAAGGGGAAGAGAGTATAAGAGTGAAACTAAGGATTGGATGCGTTTGGATACATCTGGGTTGGGTTTGTTTTGAATGGAAATTTTTATTTTAAAAGAACTTATTTTTGTAAAAATGTTTTATTGCATTCATGAGAAAGATTAAAAAGATATGAAATAAAATAAATAATAAGAAAGAGAGTAATTAAAAGTTATAAAAGTTACTATAAACATTTATTAAAAAAATAACTCTCTTGAATACTGCACTCTTCACTCGTGTACCAGATATTTAAAAGCGTAAAAATTGACTGAAAATTATACATAACCATGTTTCGGTAATATCAACAGAATAATTCCTTTAACTTTTGTTGAACCATTGAAAAACTAAAAAAAAGTGACCATTGGAAGCAAGTGCAGTCATGGGGCTTCTTATATATTCCTACACATTTTGTGTGTCCAATAATTTCCTTTTATAGCAATGTGTAAGGGCTCAATCTTGATTTGATACAAGCCCTGTAATACATGGATGAATCAATGTATTCCTCTCCTATATACATATATTATTTTGGCCAGGCAGTGCATGATTAGGCCCTGCCAATCTTTTGGGGTGTAAACTTGTAACTACTAGAAGACATGGGTATCAATGTTGAACTTCAAATACTTAATATACTGATCTTCATAATTTATAAGATCTGAACCACATTTATTTGGTAAATTGCAGCACACAGTATTCTCTGCATAGGACTCAAAACGAGAGCTTCTTTGCATTTCCTATATATTAGCTATGAGACAGATATTGCTTGCCAATGCTGTCTGCACAAAAGACCGTAAGGATAATAAGCATCAATAAAAAACGGTAATGAACGGCAATTTTCAAATTCAAATGACCTATATCAAGTGATTTATATATATTGCTGTCATAATAGTTAAGCAATCAGAGAAAACGAGATTTGATAAAAAGAAAGGGAGCAGATAATTTGAACACCAAAAGTATTAACAATTAACACAAAATGGGAAAATAGAAAATAATCATGGCTATTAAGTTTCACGAAGCCTTTTAAAAAAAAAGAACAAGTTAAATTGTCTTCCTCAATCAGCAACTTAAATCTAGCTGAGGGTTTTTGGTGAGGAATATGTAGGAACAGAACTATTAAACAAGGAGAACACTGAAGGAAATGGAATAATTGGAATACCCTTATAGGAGAGCATCATATGAGCACACTTCATGTTCTTTTCACCAAAGAGATTCCATGAGGATCACCTCCCCATTCCTCAAACACAACCAAGAGGTTACCACTTGGGTTCAACCATGAGCGAGGAACATGGTACCTGTCCAAAGGGAAAAATAGGCTCTCATGATGTTCAAGTATTTACATCACTCAATGTTGAAAATTAAGGTGTGTGAATTCTCACCATCTTTGAGAGGGTTGTCCACAATTTGTGCGGCATTTTTTATCAGTATAAAATCCAGCATAATTACAACCATTACAATTGTCATGTGCTATATATCCAGGCCAATGGCGACCAATGCTCCGACCATTTATCCATACTTCACCCTTTCCCATGCTATTCATATCAAGAGCCAATGGATCATTGCCAGCTGGTGCACTAAAAGTTGCCTAATACCATTGAAGTATGAAATGACTCAATTTATGTAAACACTGGCAATCAACCATCATTAACAGCGACTAAAATGCAACATTTATAGAAAACTTATTCTTACCTTGTACCATGACAAAGGTTGTTTTTTAGCCACTAATGATCCTCGTGCCCATTCCACAGAGTTACTCCCACTTACAGTGTGAAGGCTCAAGGCTTCACCTTTCAGTCCAACCTGACCAATAATATACAAGTATGTTAATCTTTACTACTGCATATTTCCTAAAGGAAAACATAATATAGTGTAAATTGCACTGAGATCTTCTAAAAAATATGTACAATGTATTATGCATTCTTATCTATCCTAGAATGGTGAAGTTGCTTATTTTTCCTTGAATTTTTGCTTCAATAGCGATCAAATTTAAACACAATAACAATCAGCATTTCAGTCTTACCCTCATATTTGTTATTTTATGTGTTGATTTTTTCTTATTGGCAAACACACCAACCAAAATAACAAAACCTTTCCAAGTTGCTAATGAGCAATGAAATGTACAAGATAACAAACCTTGTAAGACCATTTCTGCCGAGATAAGTCTCGTGTCCCCTCATTTAGACCCTTCAGAGTGACTGGGCCTAACACCCCAGCATTCCATGTTTCAAAATGCGTACCAACATTCTGGTATTAAATGAAAACAAAACATTATTAAAATCTAAAAAATATTACTTATCAACAAATTTAAAATGTTACAGAAAACACATATCAGAAAAGAGATAACTAACCGGGAGACCCACGGCAACACTAAGTAAAGAAAGCTTGTTATTACCAGCCCTCAGCTTCACATTGTTACTAAATGTTAACTTGGGATTCCCCAATCCCCCATACACAGTTCCTGCATTCATACAGGAGCATGTTAAACTGGAGTTTGTTAAAGAAAAGTGCTAAGCAAAAGAGGCATACTAATGTTATTCACCTGAAAGTTGACCATTAATGAAAACATGGAGAACATGGCCTGCTGACATTACAGTAAGAACAGGAGATTGCCCATTCCTTAAAAATCCTTCATTACGATTAATGTTGACACTGACCAAATGATATCAATATAAATTAGATGAAGAGATCACAGAATTAGAAAGCATCAAATGATTAACATTCCAATAATTTGTCTTTAAGATGTTTGACAAGTTGAAAGATGCTTACTCTGTCATATACCACAAATAATCTGTAGAATCCCGGGTCACATTGACCTGCTCCCAAAGTGCCTCTGCTGCGATGGAATCGCGTCCACTGGATGAGACAGGTTCTTCATTGTATGACTGCCAAGTAAACGCACTGTTTACTGGAGTCATCTTTTTTAGCCAGCTATGAGCACCAACCTGCATAAAATTGGTCAACCGTACTGCCTAATGAATATCGTACTTGAAAAAATGTTAGCATAGTAAATACGAAATCCAAATGATTTCTTCTCACAACACTGTATAATCTTTGTCTGCCCTTCAAGAAGTTATTAAACAAAAGCAGATCAATTTTTTTTCAACGACAAATTGATTTCTGCATAAATAATTTGACCGCACATACATTTATTAAACAAAAACAAAAAAATGTGAAACTTATTTATCATAGACAGCAGTGTTCGGTTACCTTTGCAGTGTTGAAAACTTCAGTTTTGCAGTCAGGAAGAATACTGATAGACCAAGGTGGCAGGTCATATTGTCCACTTCCAAATTTAGCCTTTGCAGAAGATTTTGTGTCATAATTGGCAAGGAATGCAGCACTGGCACCGGAGGTCTTAAACACATGTGCCTAAGATTACATTAACAGAGGGAATCAAATGAATTTCAAAACATAGGCAACTATGTAGGTTTTCATCGTAAACAAGCATAGGGACTTCACCTCAAGGTTATATCCAAGCGATGTCACTGTGGGATCTGTAGACACTAAAGCCGGCTCACATTGTTTAATTGCTTTATGCAAATCTCTCAAATGCCCCCATTTTGGTTCATTTTGAAGTCCTGGTACAATGGTGTAGTTGAACAAGCTTCAGGCTAATGATAAAATGTTTTTCAGCTTTACCCATGTGGTGCCTACAAGTGAATTTGTGCACTTTGCTTCGACAATAAAATTATCACTTTCTTTTTTCTCTGATATCACTTTAGGCAAAAGGTTCCTTAAATTTTCCAGAGCTTTAAATGTGTGTTTTTATCATCATCCAAAGCATGTAAACAATTTTAACTATACTGCATACCGTATTCATCAAGGGGAGCATCGTAGTCATAGCTTGTGGTAATGAAGAGACCACCAGATGTCCGACCAAAATTAGTTCCTCCATGGTACTGGACACAGAAGTTACATATTAGACACAAATTGAAGTTTCTAGAACATGAATTTACACGACACCTTATGGATAAATCTTATATGTAGAGGGCCAACATACCATATAATAGTTAACAAATGAACCACCATTCTGTATGAATCTTGCAACTGAGAATGCCAAGTCTTCTGCTGGTCTACGAGGGTTTGCACTACCAAAATCAGTGTACCTACAGAACAGGAAACATTAAACTAAACGAAGGACCAAAATAAAAACATTTTCAGTCTACAAAGGTAGCATTTGTGAGACTTACCAGCCAGTCCAATTCTCAGTCCACATTTTGGGTTTGTACTGTTTGTTGGGCTTAAAGTTTTCACAGTAGAACCCATTGCAGGCGTCAATCTGTAGCACAGTCAGTAAATTAACACAGACCAGATGCAACGAGCCGAATCAATTTGCCTATGAAATCACAAAGCTTTCCCTAAAAAAATTGAAACCAAATCTTGACACTTTCTCAATGTTTCTTTTTACATATTTATTTTACAAAGGCTAAAGGACATATAACAGGAGAAAGGTGTGGTAGATAAAAGAATAAAACTGCTGCGGTAAGCCAAAGCACCATCCTCCAAATAAAAGAAAAAGAGAAATGGGTCAAATGGGCTTATGCGACATGGTATAGTAAAAGCAACAACCTTATCCCAACCAAAGTAACCAAAACATACTATTATAAACCCCACCACCCCATAAAGATGGGTCACATAAATTTAACGGAATAGAATAAGAATTATAATTTTATTTGGTAAAAGAGAACTCCAAATACACACACAAATGAAAACGTTTTAAGCAAGTGAGGGAAAGAGAAAGAGTAACATACAACAGGATCAGGAGCATCTTCTTGCTTGCACATAACCCAGGGAACACCAGTATCTAGACCTACGGCCATTTTAGCAGCCCAATTCGTATAAGCTTTTCCAGGAGCACCAATTTCCCATTCCACTGGTCCATACTCGTTCTCTATCTGTCAATTCAATTGGAATTTCTTTTCAACACTAAATTAAGCATCATCAATATCATTATTCTAATTGGCTCAATTAAAACTTTATGGTTAAAAAGATAACAAAACTGAAAAAATCAATGATAAAAATAAATTATATAGCTTATTTAAATACCGTGTAACTGTATTTACCTGGGACATAATTATTGGTCCACCCTGATTTTGAAACAACCTTTCTGATTTCATCAAGCTCACAATCTTGGTAGTGAATTTTTGCATTGCCGCCTACACAAACATCATGACAAAAAATTGGTCTATTAGGAAATTCATTAAAATATTATTAATCAACCAATAATTACAAGTAAATAATTAGAATAAGTGAGGCTCCAAAATGAAAACTAAATACCTTGAACGGCTCATTGTCAGTTCTGAAAGCTATACCCCGAACATACTTGAGCCAAACAGGAAATCCCCTGAATAGAAAACAGAGGATGTGACCTTTTGAGTCATTTCTAAGAATTATTTTTTCATTTAAGAATTTTCCTCTTCTTATATTAAAATTAGAATAAGGTGAACATTGACATCATGAAAATCATTACCCAAAGTTCCATTCAGCACATATGTAGGGACCAATACGGAGATGAACATAAAGGCCAGCTTGCTGTACCAGCTTAACGAACTTTACCAGGTCATATCTATCCTCGAAATAGTACTGAAAATTTTCAACATTACATAAAACTTCAATAAGTTTCTTCTTTTATTTTTGAGAACTTTCTGAACAGTGAAAACAACAAGGAATTGGAATTGGAAACACAAACACCCCATAATAAAAAAATGAAATTTCGGCAAATTTGTTGCATTTGCATTACTTGTCCAGGAGAAGGTTCGTGTCCATTCCAAAACACGTAGGTCTGAATAACATCAATGCCTCCATCTTTGGCCTTTTGAATAAGGTCCGGCCACATCTGCAATCAGAAACATAAATTTAGTTGCTTGCATTAATGAAAAAAATGGAAGAAATGATTGAAATTTTATTTTTTTTGATGCAGTGAGAGTGAGTACTTGAGGTGTGCTTCTTGGATAATGGATGGAGCCAGATATCAAAATTCTTCTCTTTCCATCAACAACAATTGCTCTGTGGTCATAAGTCACAGAGGCTGTGACACTACAAACCCACAAGCACAACAACATTAACACCACCCCATGAAACTTTCTCTTACCTATTAAATTCTCCATCATCATCATCATCATCATCATCATCAAAACTCTTGCTATGTTTGTTTACTTTCCCTCAGTTTTGTTCATTCATTTGAAGTTTGAGAAGAGATAAAGGGGACAAAGAGTTTTATATGTTTGTGGAGTGTCTGGTTTTGAGAGAGAGGTTCTTTTGTTACAAGGTGAGGTGTGTGGATTTGATGGGTGGGTTGAAGTAAACGTTGAAAGCAATGCACCAATGCTTATGCTTTATATAGATTTGGAGAACGAAAGAAAAACGAGGGAAGTATCAAGTATGGCTCCTCTTTCTCTTCTTTTTTCCTTCACACGCAAAACATTACCCGTTAAGTTAATACATCTTCTTTGCTCACTTGTTTAGGAATTTTAAATTCATTTTGGTGCCAATATTTTAAGATTTTTGACGTATAAAATAAAGAATAAATAGATAAATAAAATATATTAAAACGGTAAGAAAGTAAGTTAAAAAGATATGTTTTTGTATTAATAGAAATAAAATTAAAAAAATATTTTTATTTAAATGAATAATAAATAAGATAAATAAATAAATTTTATAAAAAATATTTTAATAATTATTACTATAATTTATTTAATAAAAAGTTAAAAAACTTAACGTAAGATTTTTTTCTTAATATTTATGTTTTATGTTTTTTAATTATTTAACATTAAAATGATAATAATAATAATAATAAATGTAAGTTACATTTACTAAGAGAAAAAATTTGTTGGATAATTTTTTTTTTATATAAAATCACTGCTCTTAATTTTTTTTCCTCACACAATCGCCTTGTCCCAACAAAATTTTGGATGATTTTACTTTGTCCTATTTTGAAAGATAGTTAACTATAATTAAATTAACATATTTTGTTATCATTAGTACTTTGTCTTGACTCTAATCATTCAAAAATAATAAAAAATTATAAAACAATATATTAAAAATTTAATAAGGATAAAATAAAATAAAAAATAAATATACTTTTACTGTAAAATAAAAAAAAACAGGTAAATGATCTATTCAGTTAATGTCAAATTACTATCAATCAAAGCAAATAAAATTTCTAAGAAAAACGTTAATTAAACAAAAAAAGAATTGCCTTTCTAAATAAAAAGGTTTATTTCAAGAAGACAAGAGTGGTGTTTCGATACACGACCAAAAGAAGGTGTTTGTAGACCAAATTAAGTTGTAGCGTTTATTAAAATGGGTCAGCATGATTGTTCTATATTAATGAATATGTGATATTTATGGCTTTGTTTAATTCAATAATCACCTTGATTGCATATTTTGTAGGTGTTGTAAGTGTTATTGATTAATTAAAATTAGAGTTTTATTTTAATAAAATAGTTATACTTAATGATATGACATATTATTAAAATAATCTTAAAATTTGGCTAAAGCAAAGACTCTTCTTACCATGATTGTGCATTTAAGAATAAATACGGCGTTTGGGTTTGCGTGGCTTTCACAACGACCTATATTTCATGCAACCACCTTCCTTCCGTATTAGACAAGACTCCACCAATGCCAACCCTTTTAACCAACTTTGAGTCCAATCCCGTTATGAAGCTTTCAACATCAAATTTTACTCAAATACAATAAAAGCTACAGAAAGAAAGTAAAGTATAATTAGAAAAATAATATGAGATTGTAACAAAATACTTTTAATGTATATTATATTATGAAATTGTTAAATTTTATTCATCGATCTTTAGTGATAATTATATCATACATTTTATAAACTACACACCCACTTTGAAAAGAGTAAAATCCCTAGTTGAAGACCCGTGTAGAAATTTTCTCAAGTAATTTAACCACAATTTTAACTTGACAATTCTTTTTGTCAATATCTTTTACAATAAAAGAAGCTTTATCTGTAGTATGATAATGAATTTTAATTTCTTAAAAAAAAAAACAAAGAGGACAATGAATATAGATTATTATAAATAATATAAATGATACATGCCCACACATGCGGGTGTTTGTGTGAATTTTATGGTCATGTTTTTAAAAGGATAATTGGATTGGATGCTCAGAAAAGTGAAGTTGAAGCATCTTAACACGTGTACCATGACGTAGATCCTTTGACTCCATCCATTATCCATCTTTAATTCATTCCAAGAACCAACCATAACATGCCACGTTTTCATTGATAAAGCAGTGTCATAGACTCGTTAAGTATCGAGTATGTAGCCCATAGTCCTGAGTTTTGTTTTTCTTTTTTCTTCTTTGATAACCATATATATAACTCATGTTTGATTTTAATTGAAATAAGTTTTGTACCAGTTTTCTACATTCATGAGAATTATAAATTAAGTTAAATGATATAAAATAAAATGATTAACTATTATATATATTTATGTTATCAAAATAATATCACTCTTACATAATACTGCATTCTTCACCCGTGTAACATATGATGACAGCAAATATTTACAATTATAGGTAGAAATCAAAGGATTCATATATTCATTATATTGATTAAAGAATGATATGATGGAGGGATTAAGATCTGATTGAGTGGTGGCAAGGGATTAATTTAATAAATGCATTACAAATTAATAACTTTTATCTTATAAAGATAAATATATGAATATTAAAATCGTGCAAAATTTTAATAAAATTTAACAATAATTTTGAAATTATTCAATTATGATAATCTCATGGTCTTCAAATGAAGCGGTGTACTTGCCCATTCTCAAAATGGAGTTCAAAATCATACAGATAGAATAAATAAAATATAAATATTTACATTACTTATTTATAAGTTTCTCTGGCTGAGGATCTATATTTATTTAACTTCAGTTGTTGGTCTGCGTATAATAATAGTGTTTGATTTGTGTTTAACATATATGCTAATTATAATAACTTAATTGAAGAACTTTAAATTTATTGGTGATTATATTTGAATTTAATTCAATGCATAAATTATAGGTATATATGATTATTTGACTCTAAGGGTGCTTTCTTTTTTTTGTTACACAATACATGAATTCAAGAAGATGGAATTTTTACGAAGAACTTAAAAGAAAAAGGAAATTGATAAGAGAAATAGAAAGAAAGAAAAGATTAAGTTATGTTAATTTAAAGCGATTTGAGAACAAATCATGAGGTTAAGAATTTGATACCATAAGCAAAAAGCAGTTAGTGGCAAATTGCAACTTGCCATGGCACGCAGCTATAGATTTGTGGAGGGGCGGTGAGGATGAGACTGCCACGTTGTCACTTTGGTGATAGCTCCTCCTCAATCAATAATTCCATATTCTCATACTTTAAGGTTAACGTTATCAATATTAATGATAAAGTAGATGTTTACTAGAATTTTAGGAATATTATTTTTAAAATATTAAAATAAAGCATTTTATTTAATTTTTTTTTATAACTTTCGTATATCTTATTATATATTAAAAGATACATAATAAGAAATGATAAGTGCTAGTCAATACTTTAAAAATATGAGTAAATAAACTTAAAAATAATAAATTTTAATTAAAATACATTATTAAAGTTTTTTCATGTAACTATTAATGCAATTAAATATGTTTTTAATAAAAAAATTAATTAGTGTGGTAAGGGATACTAATTAATAGATAACACTTGTTGGAAGTTAAAAACACGATTTGGTTAAGTAGTTATTAATTTTTTTTTTATGTAAATTGAGTGAGTAGTTAGTAGTATCTACTTGGGTATATTGTTATTATGAACCATTTGAATAATAAGAGATATGAAGTGATAGTCCTCCAAGTTAATATATGATATATTTCTCTATTTTTTATATAAATAAGATCGTATATAAATATGGACTTACATAATGAAATTTGGTAGAATAATCTGATAAAAAAAAACTAAGATATATTTTAATATATTAAAAATATCATCGTATAAAAAATGTTTGAATAATTTTAATCATGATACAATTATTACTATAACTTAATTTATCATATTTATACTACGATAGTCCAACTACCAGTTATGCATTTATTTTTAAATTTAATTTTAATTCACTAGTAATAAGAATTTTCTTATATTAACATCTAATATATTGATTCATCAAAACATAATTGATATCTGTTTCTGTAATACAATACTAACAAATATCATATCGATCAAAGATTTTAATATTTCAGCCCCACAAGATATAGTCAGACGAAATTTGAAGGCCTTTTACTAGTCTTATCCTTTGGTTTTGAAATTGAAATGTGAGGTTGTGAACATAAGTTTTGCTAACATTGAACTTACAAACTTTCAGATAAGCCTTATTCCTCAATGTATAGCGCCAAAAACATTGATGTGCGTCCATTTTATTTTATTTATTTTTAATTGAGACCATCAAGTATTCTTTGTATGTTCATCCATTTTAAAATGCTCATCATTTTTAAAATTATTAAATCTAGTTCATGACAATGGAAATTATGTGTTCAAAAATTACTTTCCTAAAGTTATGTTTTAGTCCTAGAAGATATGGAGGATGCTTCTGCCCTTTGTGTGTGGATAAATATAAATGTTAGATCATATAAATACAACGAGGACCACATGCGTCATATGTCAACCAAATGAAAACAACTAAGATGCCATTTGCAGGTCGTATGTAGATATCATGAAATAATATTATATGAAACGTATCACTTTTAAAGATTGGGAAGTTCTAATATATTGCCATTTTTATAATTCACGAAATATGAAGATATATTTATTAATTTATCCTAATCATGATGTGAAAATGATATCTAATGTTCTCTTTCCCTAATAGCCATATTAAACAATGCATATCATTCTTTATATGAATTCTAATTACTCAACGTATGTCAATACCCATCAATTGAAAACGACATTTGACTGTAGTTACGTGTTGTTATCCATTGAATACTTAGATAATGAAGTCTTCGTCTTATATATAAAATATATTTTTCACTATCAAAATATGAGTTCTACAAAGTTTAGAATTAAAATTCATCATGATTCAATGCATCGTAAATATTTCCTGTTTGATATATCTGTTCTGTTTCGTGATTATGATACTTCTATTTTCCCTTTAGAAACTAGTGATTAGTAAAGTGGAAAAACAGAGACAAATTGAGACTTATAAAACTTGAAAACTTAGAAGCCCATATGTGTATTATGGTGTCCTTTAGCCAAAGGAACACATACAAGGCTTCAACAAACATACTTTAAGCTTTTAATCCAATAACCCATCAAACACATTAAATTGGGTTACTTGTAAATAGCATGATGTGGGAAAACAAAATCACTAGCATATTATTGGAGATAATGGAGTGGGAGGTTATGTTTTCATACCGATCAATAATTTGCT